GGTGGGTATCACACTGGCCAGTGTCGAATCGCTATCGGCTTTGTGCAGGGCTGGAGAATTGTGACAAAATTTGTCGGGACATGAATGGACATGGAGAAACAGAGCTATCTTGTCTAGTAATGTTGCTGTCCAGAAGTGTCAAACTACGGCCAAGTGTTGTTGGCTCTACTGCTGTAGTGTATTCCTAAATCTGAATCAATCATCCTTCATTCCGACTTTCGGTGCTGCTTGAGCTACATCTACACACTTGCACTTTGCCCGCGTCAATCAGGAGACTTTGTAAAAGGATGAAAGGAGTTTAGCAAATAAGTGGGCGGTCGCCGGGAAAGCGTCAAAAAGGATAAATAAACCTTGTGACGCAAAATTGCTGGTCCGAGTAGAGAATCGGTCTTCTCCTCCATCCAGTATCTACCTCTACGAGAGATAGATCCGACTCCCGACAAGTGTGGGATAAAGATGGTGATGTTGTTGACAGGAGTATGACAAGTATGGGCAACATCGTCCTAATCTATGCTTTTGTACTCATCCTCGTAAGTTTCGGCGTTGATTTTGGTGTCGTCCAGTGGCTACAGCAGTATGGCGTCAGGCAACAGGTAAGCCAGAGTTCTGGTCGAGTGTCAACAGGCGTCGGTGAGCCGCCACTACCATCTTCCACGACTGATTGGTCCATGGGTTGCATTGAATAGGATAAAAATGGATCATACTTACGCCTGAATTCATGTATAGTGCTTGGTGCCCAGTCGTCATTATGCTCGTCCGGATTCGCATCACTCAATGGCACTAAGCCAACTAGTAGAGTATCAGCTGTTTGATCACGAGCACAATCAAGGAGCTATTCACTTATTAGAGCTTCGTCCATGGTTTCAAATCAATTATCAGTTTGGTAATCCAGTTTAGGGTGGCCATTTCCTTCCTTGCTATCCCAATTTGCATCCATGTGATCCATGAGATTGTTAATTTAGTTACGATTGTTAATTTAGTTACCAACGTACCCAATACATGGCCAAGAAGATGGCTCTCCTACCATCATCTCGAGATAATCAGACCTTTCAAAATATAACCCACGGAATTGAGCCTCAATGCTGTCTCCAAAAGAACGATTTGGATGGATTTGATGTATCTTTTGGGAGGAGTTCATTTCTATAAGCGGACCTCTGTCTAAAATGAAAGATTGGGAGTGAAGGTGAGTATAAATCGGGGGAATGGGGGAAAGTAATGGATTTTGGGATGCTGCCCATGTCTTGTAAACTTCCTGGTGCTTTGGTATCTCTGCATGGCTTGTAATTGCTTCTTAGGGCGCTCTACCATGATTCCTGTAGCATCATCATGGGCCAGGCACCGCGAAAGCAATTTGTTTGCAGACGACCGCTCGTTCAAACGATACCACACTGTAAACATGGTAAGTTTACACGTATCTAAGCTATATGTGGGAATCATACCGGGATTGATGCAGAAATTTTGGAGCTCGTGACATTCAAAGCATCTTTTGCCTAATAATAGGTATCGACACGTTTTTTGGGCTTTATATCGATAAAATAGCCTGGTATATATGTAATTTCAATATTTTGATGTAAATACACGTCGACTAAAATGGACGGTACAAAGGGATTTGGCCAAGATTTTGGGCGGGCGCAAACAACGCTGGTGGGTCGGCCGTCTGGATCCAGCTGGCCATCCAGTACATCACTTCTTATGCCAGGCATCACTCGCTAGCTGGGTTCCATCCGCGATACGACTGGCTGTGTAGCCTAACGCCATCGTATACGGAATGTGGTCGGGCTGACGGGTATAAGGGGAGTGGAGTAGGTGATACATAGAGGAGTTTTGAATGAAGCCATTCTTGGGCTAAGGTACATGTACTGGAAGGATCCACGAGAGGAGTGGGTGAGGCGGCACAGTGGAACGAGCATCCGGCATGGGCTGAAGGTTCATATGGGTGGTGATGGATAGGAAGGACAAGGAAAATGGTGGGGGTGTCGTCAGCGAATGCAGCGTAGGGCTGTAACATCCATGATAGTAAAGGAAACTTGCCGAAATTATGATACAGCTCCTTTCGATTGAATGGATCTTTAACGCCGCTTTCAACGAAGTCGAACACGCTAGGAGCAGCTCGTCAGTATCGCGAACGCGGAGAAGAAGAGGAAAGAATATTGCTTACCACCTCCTCTACCCGTTCGTTTGTCGTTGGCGTGTTGATTGGGCATGTGGAAGGGTATGACCAGGCGTTGGGCAAAGGGTAAGTGGAGTTGAGATACGGCGACAAATTTGGACGGGTAAAGACGGATGAGGAGTGTCGATTCGAGGGGTTTATTCATGTATACTTGCTAGGTAGTGGTCGCGTGGCTTCGGTAGATGATGAAATGGGCAGGAGAATGTTAGCGGAGACGTGTAGAGTGAACAGGCGTAAAGAGAACTCACCGATTGGCCGTATGTACTTTATTCGACCAGACTAACCGCTTAAACGGCCTCTGCGTTAACATGGCGCTCGTGGGTGGCTAGGGTGCATGCGTTGAACGAGGTCTTCCGCTATGAGTTGCAAATCAGTATGCATGCGTTCGGCTGGAGGGAAAAGGAAACGAACTGTCTGGTATATTCCTTCCCTCTCTTCTCATTTGTTTGTCGTTAGCAGGATGTCCTGTCATGCTCGCGTCAGGCGGATTGGACTGGGAGTGAAGTGGAAAGGTCGAAGTACGCATTTACGGGTGGTCAGCCCCTTTGCAGCTTGTATAGGGGAAATTGAAGCGGGGGCGCAGACATCACGGTTGAGGACGGGCTATAACATTGTTTAGAGACGATATGGGCTAGATTGGCTGTGAAGAGTAGCATAATGAGGGGGGGACATTAGCAAAGACAGCGTGTAGGATGTCACGGAGGACATCGATCGCTCCAAGCGTCAAGTTAGCATCACATGTTTGTTATGAAGGAGAGTGAATTACTGACCTTTGGTTTTATTTCTTTTTACCTTTGCTTCGGGCAAAGGCTAGAGTTTGGGTATGATCGGGCTTGTTTGTGGCATTGTCAGTGGCATCTTATCACCCTCTCTCCTGGCGATCACTTATCGGTGCAAAACCTGCCCAATTATCCCGAATACTTGTTTTGATTTGGCAACAAGCATAGTAGAAGATGTCATCCTATTCGTAAGTCCTTTGGCTTTGCTCATTCTTCTCGTCCCCTTCGATTTCCTCCCTTTATCACTATATCTATGCCACTATAAACGGCATCTTTGTGTCAAAGACGCGTGTCTCTAGGCGATCTACCTCAGGGTTGTGCCTGTGTCGTATGATTCCACTTCGACACGTCGAAACATATCTTGGTCCCAACAATGACCAGCAGAAATTGCCGACAATGGCATTGTCATGACTAGCGGATCTCTTGGAGACCTGATAGCATATGACCATGTATGTCGAGCAATTCTCTTATAATCCTTTGGATCAATACCGTACGAAGGCCGACAATAGGTGCATGACACATGGCTTATACTCAACCAATGTCTTCAAAAATCACATTTTATTGGACTACCTATTATCACGAAGGTACGTCTCAAATCTGTGCCCCAAGGGAAATCCCTAATGCTGACACGAAGTTGAAAAGCGATTGCAACACAACATTGCAGTCATTTACTAGGAATAGTGCCATAGCTAGTGGATCTCATGGAAACCCGATAGCCTGTGTACAGATGCACATGCATGTGCAGTTCAAAATTCACTTGTTTCACCTTACGCCAATCACAACAACTGGATTTCAAGCAATGGACCGACAAGTGAAGCCGTCAACATACACTCTGCCCCTGCTTGTGACACAAGGTTTGGCCTATATCGACCATCATACCCAATTTCTTGTGTGCAATGCCATCACAGCTGGTGGATCTCTTGGAGACCAGATTGTTGATACACGTAGATACAGCCCCCATCA